TCACCCGTTCGGAATCGCGTGTAAGTGGTGACATGGTTGTACAGAGGTACGTCGGCAACCATCTCTTACAAATCAGCCTTGAATTGTCCCTGTGAGATGCTGCAGCTTCAATGGCGTGCAGGTTGAAGTCCCCCACCAGAAGGACATGACTGTATGGTCGTGCTAGGACTCATTTCATCGCAGAAGCTAGCCATTGATCCAGTTCGAAGGTGGACATTAGAGGGAGGTAAACTATTACTAGTGAACACACATCACCACATCTTAGGTGCATACGACACCAAAGAGTGTCGACGACTTGTGTTTCTGGGTCCTCAATGACATCAACATGCAAGTCGGATCGTTTAGTATGAAAGTCATGCCGGGTAGTGCAATTTCAACATCCTTGATCTGTGTATTCAGCCATGTTTCGGTGACCATAACTAAGTCCCAAGACGTGGAGACTTGACGAATACGAAGTTCGATTAGCTTGCTGAGAAGATCTTGTGCATTGCTACACAATCATGTGAGGGCATCGGGGTTAGAAGTGTATTTGTAAATATGGATTTTCAGTGAGGATCTATGCCGACCCTTGTGGGGTCGGCTGCCACTCGTTTTTGTAGGACCAATGACGCAGGCCCAAGGACCAGTTCAGGTTGTTGTATAGTTCTCAGCGCCATCAACAGCGTGACCATCCTGTCCTCCTACTGCTACCGACGTGTTTTGGTATTGTCTCCATTCTGACATATACGGTGACAGCATTGTATTGGTAAATTGCCTGCGCAGTGTTATCTATCTGTGACCCGGCGCCAATAGCCTATACACGTATTTCAAATGGAAGCATTTTACGCTTTTTGCGCCACATTTTGATCGCATGTTTTGCCATCAGTTCGGAGTGCAATGATAGTTTCATCACTCGGGGACCACACCCTTTGTAGTTTGGTGATAGCGGTAACTTTGATGCCGAGTTAGCGATAACATTTTCGCGTGAGAGCACTTCATGAATAAAACGCCATTCATCCCAGTCATGCGCTTTGACCTTTAGCGCGCTTAGTGACTGGAGCTCGGGGACACCTTGAACAAGGGAAGATTTTGCGTCTTGTTGTTTACGAAAGTCATCCGTATTTTGTCTGCGTTTCTGGCGATCGCTCCAAGAAACATTTCGAAAATTTCGAATAGCGCATATGGTGTTATGGAGGCGTGTGCCTGACAAGAGAACTGCCTCTGCATCATTACCTGACTGTAGTGTTACCTGGAGTAACCGCAGTTCACCGTAGTGTACGGAGCTTGGGTAACAGACGACTAACATCATATTGACTTGTTTAACCCGTATTAGTTGATACAAGGAGTCCCAGTATTTTGTCGTCTAGTAGCCTATCAGTTATGGTGTGCGCCCCGGATTCAGTCACATTAGAGCAGATAACAGTCAGAGAATCATGGCATTGTTTCCTGTTCTGCTTTTTGGATGGACCAGTGACTGCTTTCTTCGCTTGGACAGCTGATGGGGTCTTGGGTCCCGTGGTAGTGTTGGTAGTATTAACTAGTTTGACAGCGGGCGGGGTTACGATGGGGGTGCCTCTGTCATATACGTAGCAACAACCGTCTTGTACATTGTCGGCCCTTGTACAGTTTTCAATGTGGCGGGTGGTTCTGGTGAAGAATATGTGGCGAACCTCTTTATGAGCAGCCACTAGTGCCTGGATGGCTAACTCTGGATCGTTTATTTTCGGTCTGGCTACGCTGTTCTGAATTGGAGCCTGGTGTTGAATGTCGAGTTCGAGGCACCGATTTGGCTGGTTCTTGTGGGACAGATTTCACAGCTGATGCTTGTTTTCCAATTTTTTTCAGGCTATCGCACTTCTCTGCCCACACAATTATACATCTGACTAGTGGAATAGACGTACATCCAGTGCAGAACCAGAGAGGATGAGTCGTACTACTCAGTTTTTTCTCTGGCTGAGAATAAGACGAGCACCTCGAGGCTGAAAATATTTCGGACAATTTCTGCATTCTATCCCCAAGCGCACAAGTTTATTACAGATATCTGCGTCAAAACTAACGTTTCTTTCGGAAGCTTTAGGGTTGGCTTTTTGTGAGCAAGCAGTACGTGCCATTGTAACTCTCAGCTCTGCGGATGTTGTTCGCCGCAACGTCGACAATAGTAGGCTGAATCCAAACGCTGTCGGTCAAGCTGGTGGTCTGGCTGATACAGGTTAGATAGCTGTAGAACAAATTCAAGATGGCAGTTGGACCAATCAGTGAGGTCTACGAAATTACCCAGGAAATACCCACCAAAGTTGTACAGATGGAAAATTACAACAAAAGAAATGTACTGGTGCACAAGCCACACAGAGAAAACACTTATAACACAGGAATCCTGAAGTAAATGTATAATCCAGTACGGTCAAGCAAAAATCCGTGGCGTCCTTGGGTACGGCCAATGACAACCTTATATCATACAAAATAATCTTATGACTTCCGCTGGAGTATTGTACTATTATTCACAGCCAATTAAGAAAGAAAGACAGAACAGCTCTGGAAAATCCCCAACCATATACCACGCTGCTCACCTTGCGCTACTCAGTCCTTTGTTAATATGCCCGCTGTCGCCATCTGCGAATGGATCCCCTTTGGTTGAGGCAGCTGAAGAACATTCTCCTACTTCTTTTCAAAATTCTAAACAAGCGGGTTTCCACGGAGTGTACCGTCTTCGAGCTAGGGTACAGATCCATTTATCCCACCCGTAATAGCGGCTAATGGTGTCCCCGTAGCTTGCTAGTAATAAAATTCGATCGACTTTCTTTAGTAAGATATACCAAGATGTGGAACCGATTACCACTACAGCTACGCACGAATGCCAACCAAGTCACATTTTCGACTTCTCTAGAGACTTTCCTCACTATCCCGAGTGTATTACAGGTACAACAATAGTCAAAAAATTGATGGAAGATGGTCTAAACAGCGTTTGCTAAGCGAACATCCTAAATAGCTTACTCTCTATCATTATCCATGAAATTAAACATGTGCCTGGTCAACCTACTCTCCCATACTCTACTTTTGACTGCTCCCGAGTTTTGCTACCTAGAATATTTGAAAACGGTGTTAATAATATACCTACGCTCTGAATTTGGAGTGACTACTTCGACGGTCCGAGGATAATGTCATGATACGAAACTTTATTTTTCTTCTTTTATTTTTCTCTTATAATGTTTTAAGCCGCTTAAACTATGACACGTCTATGTAGAAATGATTGCTGCTGCTTAGAGACCCTATAACGTTTGTCGGTAAATGTACGAAATTATTATTTCTTAGCACATAGTCGTCAGTGATGCTTCGAGCGCTTGTGAATGTAGAGGTCCACTTCGCATTAACTTCTTTAGCCGCCAGGTGTCTCGTTGAGGCAGAGTAGCCACCTGCATCACTTGTATACTTTCTAACATTCGCAGTGAGCGGAACTAGTTACCGGGACCGTCGTGCCATGAAATTAAAAGAATTAACAAGTCAATCGAAGAAAACGACTTACAAAATGCCCTCTATAAAAACATCTAACTTACATGATTCTACCTGAGCATCTGCGGAATGCAATTAACGAGCTAGAAATTACATGAACTGCAGTGTGTAATGTTCGTGGTGAAAAGCTTCGCTGACAATAGCAGAACTGCACACGCTGAAGCATAAGCGGTATCTACAAGTATACGGTGCTTATCTCTTCTCCCTGCATTAACTCTGGTTGACAAGATCAGACGGGTTGTACGTAGATAGAGGTTTCCGGAGATCTCATCAACGTAGATGGCTTAAGCACTGGATCTGAGAACGACGTGCTAATCAGCTTAATCTGTGTGCGGTTTCTTAACAGCTACAGATGAGTGCAACAACTAAGGATAAGATTGGATTCTAGGTTTGAAGGAGCAGCGCACGTAACCACCCATACTATCCGGAGCGCATGCAAATAGGGCATATCGACCTATTTATCTTAGTGTATGAAGTGGAACGCAGACAAGGTAAGAGGGAAGTGTCATGGTAAGAGTTTATGAGGCTTGGTGGATACTAGGCTGAAAGAAAGCAAGTGACCGTGAGCAGACCTAACAGAAAGTAACGGGACAGAAAGGAGGTATTGGCACCAAGGTGGTTTTGCTTGTCCACCTTGTTGTATGTAGTAAGCAAGACTAGTTTCGAAACAACACGGTCGAAGTAGATTATGAGATCTACTGAATTCGTCGTGTTCTTGCCACAATTCTCGAATATTTCCGGAGAACCTTCGGAGCCTTAAGCTGGAGTGAATGATCACAAGGAATGAGGAAAATAACAGGGACATGCAACCCGAAACACTCTCTCGTTAATGTGTTACCCTGTCACTTAATTTTTCATGCTTCCCATTCACTTGGGTAGTCTGTAAAACTCTAGTCAATAATACTATCAGTGTCCCGAACTTGTCTGCCCATTTGCTCTGTTTCATTTGCAAACCATTAGTTTACTGTCAACTGGTGAACTTTAAAACAGTTCGTTGGACTAGGTATTCGTCACATTAAATACCTAGTTGTGAATCAGATTCTGTGACTGTAGTTGCTCAAAGCAATATTTGGAGTTGAAACTCTCCGTTTCACTGTGCAATACATCTAAATTATAGAAGTGGTTGACAATTTCCGGCGATACAACTGACATTTAACTCTCGTTTGTTCTATAAATTGTTCCACAGGGAGCTTGTTAAAATCTATTTGACAACTTTTAATCACTGGTAGTTAGGAGTTTAGTGTGACCTCATGGTGTACTCATTACCCACGGTCAGGAAAACCTGGGAAATGCAAGCAAATATTGGTAGCCCACAATGTTCAGTTTGTCGTCAGAGTTCGCTGAGCTCGGCAGTTTCGCAGCAAAATTACCGACACACGAACAAAATGTGAGATAACTACCTTACAGCTAAGGTTTGCTAAAGTTAGAAGATTAACAGCAACTATTTTGTAACAGGCAACTGTAAATGAAGTCTGTAAGACTAAATACTAAATGCAAAATCTTTTACAACTTACGTATTATGACGATCGATGCATTCCGCATTAAATTGCAAATCCATCACCAAAGGCTGGAAATGGGGGTGGTGTACTAGGCTTTCTGTCACAAGCTAGGTGGCTAATTCAAAATAAAAGACATAAATTCATATAACAAATAATCCGATCGCAATATGCCATTAGTTCATCTTTCTGAATGCATTCTGACACCACCCAGTGTCAAGTAGAAGAAAGTGGAGAATCAATAATCGGTTCAAAACGGACCACGTGACTAAATGTTTGACGACTACTGCACTTACGTCAACTGAGTTGGCTGATTCCGATCCAAGACTTAAAGAAACAGGAACTCAGGGTATGCTCGAAATAGTCTCTGGCGCTGACCGTAAGCTAATGCAAGCCTTTAATGGGTAGTTGGCATATTTTTGTAAACGACAGTTGGGGTTTCATGGTTTATAATTTCGAATTTACCTGACGCAAAGCTAACGCCGACAGCCTAAACGGATTAGCCATCTCGATCTTCGCAGCACTATGACGGACAGAGTGAGACTAGAGGATTTACCAACTTTTGCGTACTGCAAATCCCTTTCCTATACTCACCCCACCGGTCGAAGATAGTAATACTTGCACTTTCAAACCCATTTGACATCATAACAAGGGGAAACACATACCCCTAATGCACGTGGGGTTTCGATTAAAACAATCACCTCTCCGATTACCTTGCTGCAATATCACTGCGTTGAACCAGGATGGGATGACTCCAAAACAACACACTTGTATTTTGGCCCACATGTTTACCAAGTCTATTGGGTAGTTCACCTGTATACAAATAAATAAAGGTTTTGTTCCCCGACAGTGCGAAGGACACAGACTAAGTGAGCGGTCAGACTAACTTGTACAACGTGATCGTATAATATAGTTAGTTTGACGTGTTTTGTTCAAAGGTTCACATATAGGTTTTTTGAAATGATTAGCAGTTTGAAAGTATTAGAGAGATTAAGTAATCGGGAACAATAACAAATGTAGGTGTAGCCAACAGTTCAAGTAAACTAGTACGGCCATCGATAGAACTGTCTCCAGGGGATGTGCTTCCATGCGGGGTATTCCTCGATGGGTTTCACCCGCATTCCCATGCTTTAACTGGCTATGTGCCGGTGTGGCAAACCAGTAAATTGGCAATCACCTGTGTTATAAATGTTATTTTTCATAAGGGTTGTTTTATGCATACATTATGGGCGGTGCAGCCTCAGCCCGTTCCATCATGCGGATCAATCAAGTATGTCACTTTTTGTTATAAGCCAGCGAGTCAGTAGCAGGATGATTTGCATGGGCAGAACTTTTTAATTTGGAAGCTGTAATGCGTCACATCAAGAGATCAGCCCAGGCATGACCAAAAACGGAACAAAGAAGAATATAAACTATGAGTAAGTAAAACAACATAATAATGATTACAATCGCTTGCCGATGGGCAAATGACCATTTGTTGGAAACTCTTGGCGAGTGATGAGAATGGTACGGAGAATTCAGATTGAAAGGTGCAGTGCATCCACGAATCAGTGCATCAAAGGAAAAAAACAGAATTGGTTAGACGGAGTGATAGGAGTAAAATTGTTTATCCATACATCTCAAGTGTTCAACCATATGTAGATAAACTTCTAATATTGAAACGAATGGAGGATTTGGCGACTTTCAAATGTATCCAGGACCTTTTACATACAAATAATCTAGGGTCATCGTTTGGCTTAGTGTTGACCAGATATTTGAAACAGTCAGATGAATATTAATCATGCGTCTGAATTGCGGATACGTAGTGCAGTTTCTAATACTCGATGGAAGTTTGTTCCATATTAACGCATATTTTACAGAAAACAAATTTGAGCGGATAGTGGTGAGAGACTTTTGTATTTGCCACGTGCGCTCGCTGTTTCTTAGTGCATGGTGCGTACGAGTCTGAAACTCGAGTTGTGCTTGAACAGTGGAGCTTAATCCGATTAGTAAGCGGTATAGAAGGAACAAGTTAAGTGAGTCTGCGTAGCCATAGCGGCTCCATTTTTAGAGCGTTGCAACGCTCACGGTATGTCATAGTGTTAGGCATGTTAAAACCTCCGTGAATGGTTGTTGAATGTTTTCTAGTGCTATGATGTCCACTTTTCTCAGATTACCGTGCACTATCGTACAGTACCCAAACTTCTAAAAGCATATTTTAAATGCTTGAAGCATTGAATCCCTCAAGCGTTTGGCTTATGTAGGCAAGCGCTTATCTGGCAGAAGTCTACAAGTCAATAAAGTTCTAAAAAATTAAATGAGGCAGAATATCTTACACCGAGTTCTCTGCCTGCGCCACACACAGGAATAGGGGTGCCGTCTACGGTTAGGATGTTCGGAGAAAGGCTGCAGTTCAATAGATTACACTTGTCAGTGGCAAAGTGCAACTTCCAGTAGTTACTCCAGAGCTCAATGCGGAGAAGTCAGACTGAATATAGGCCAAATTAGGACTACGTTGTCCAGGAGCAGAACAATACACAAGTTTAACATCACCAGCAAAGTAATATGGCTACCCGTACAAATCTTCATCAAGGAGATCGTTGAAATAGAGTAAGAATAAAAGCGGGCCTAGCACGCTACCACTAGAGATTCAGGTGGCTTCAGTTGTGCAGTTACCAATTTTGACTACTTGCTTTCTACACTCGAGGTAGGAAGACAACCACTCCAGAAGCAAATTTGGTTCCTCAACAATAAGTTGTGTGGCGCTCAGTCGAATGTCATTTGGATACCAAGAAATATTGCAACGACGGCAATTCCGGGGTCTCTCGCTTTAGTCAGATAACCAAGATATTCTAACTGACAGGTAGTGGATCACCTACCTTTCAAAAAACTGTGCTGATCTTTACTGATAAGACTCATAGAACTAAACTATTCTATTATGCGTTCTTTACCTAATCTCTCCATGTATCTGGAGCTACTGGATGTGTGGTGGATTGGGCGGTAACTTTTTACATCTTGCGTAGATCCGCTTTTGTGTTGTGGTATTACGGTTGATTGTTTCCAGTGCAAAGGATACTCCCCATTGATCATGGAAAGTGTAAATAGATTCGGCAAAAACAGCGGGATGTCTGGACCTCCGTGCTTGACTAGAATTGAAGGGATGCAGTCAGGGCCTGGGGAGCATGATGGCCCAACGAATCTGAATTGGCGACATATACCATTGCGTGAATTCAATAGATTAGAGTGTATTACTGCCTTTCTTTCTTAGCTTGAGTTGAGGTTCATCTCTCGCATTAGCACTATAACTAGACATGAACTAGTCATTGAACATCGAACATATGATTGCGTGATCAGTTATGGCAGTTCCATCAGTTTAAACTCGAGTGTAGACAAGCTGATTTTCTATTCTGCCTACGGTTCAAAAGTTTTGTTATGCGCCCTTCAGCACCAATACCTCGGAGCATAGCATTTCGTAGTTATCATGGAATGACGCTGTTAGCATCCTACTGTGGAGCATTAGCAGCATAAAATCTTTTGTTTTCCTCAACATCCTTGTTTTATGAAGTTTAGTGGCTACCATTTTCGAGATGCCTGCAGGTATAGCAGTCCTATTCAACTTCTTATTACATTCTGGAGCCCCAAACTCCAACAAAAAGTTGAATACGGTGCTAGAACTCATCAAAAGCAATTGGCACATTCTGTGCTAACAAAATGAACCCCAAATTGAAGAATTTATGATTCCGGAAAATTGACCAATCCACGGAAAATAATGGGCGGTATTTGATCACTGATTCTATCGGTTTATAAAGCAGTTGGGAAGAACAACTAACGATGATGTAGAAGAATCCCGAGCAACCTAAACTGTGATACCCCAATCCCGTTCAATGATACTCTGGCTGTGATACCACCTACCATTCACCCAACTTGTATTTGTCCAAAACCTTCGTTGGCCAACTGTACTAGGTTAACGATGGTGGATCAATTAGATACATTTTGGACTTTGAGAATGCGGATCACTTATATAAAACCACGTTTCACTTACTTTAATTCTTTCGGAATAAAGCAATGCCGTTTCACATACTTACGCCCGATTAGGCTATACGTGCACTTACGGTTCCTCTGACGGAAGAAAGGCCGATGAGTGTTCATTTGCCTACCACTGCTCACTTATGGTGAACACCGGTCATTTACGGTTGTTGTCCCCGACATCCAATAGCCATTCAATGTTTACCCAAATTCACAACATGCTACTGCGCGTGCAGATATGAATTCCTCTCACACCTTAGTGGTGCGGATGTATGGAGTTCTCGGCAGACGAATGATTTAGTGCAGGGCTCAGCCGCGAAGAAGCGTGAGCATTAAAGGCACACTGACATGAGGCTGTTGATCATCGAGCGAGATGAGTACAGACAGCCATAACGTGTTTCCGGCGCTCGTTATCTGTCAGCTAACCGCGCTGAGTGCTGAAGGTCATGGCCAACCGCAGGCGTTGAAGCGATCGACGGTTATCTCTGTGTGTCTTGATGGCTACGCGGCGAAGTCGGCCTAGACAATCAACTTGCATGTGCGCACGTGATGGCAGCTCAGCTGAGGACGAGGTTAGGTATTGCAACCCTTGTCAACGTTATTGAATCAGAGGTAGTGGAGCACGAGCAGGCAGTGCAGTCGGGAACACGTAACGTACCTGTTATCAGCGCGCACTGCTTATTTGGCTGTACGAGGAAGGCGGTTTAAACACGGCATTAGCTGCAAGAAAATACAATGCAATGAGCACAGGAATGCGTTCTGTCACCGCCCAGTGCGTGCTTAAACTAGTGAAGAATTTCGAGCAAACTAGGTGTGTGTGTCATGAAGGGAACCGGACCGCCTCGCATCAGCACGGACGACTGTTCAGCTTGCGCTGTAGTCAGTGAAGTGTCAAAAAGTCCCGCTCTCAGCATTAGTCGGATCGCACAGCACTGTGACACAACCCGATATGCGGTACACAGGAGATTACTGGAAGGAAAATTTCGGAGGTTCCGTGCACTTCATGTGCAGGTTTTGAACCCATGCGATCCGGAGAAGCGGCATGAAATTTGCCGCTGGTTACTGGATCTCGGGATATTCGTTCTGTTATATTTGCAGATGAGGCATTGTTTCACCAGCGTGGAACAATGGAATCTTACTTTTGAGCTACCAGAAACCCAGGAACATATACTGCATCACGTATGTACCACTGTGTGAAACTGATGGTTTGGGCAGGATTAACAAGCCAGAATATC